TGCTTTTATAATAGAAAAACTAAACTTTATGTTACAGTGGGAGGAAAAGTCAATAAGAACTTGCAAAATGCAATGACATAAACTAAGAAGTACATAATATCATCTGACAGATGAAACACTATGGTTTTATAAAATTAGAAGTCCATTGCCCATACATTTACCTGTTCCTATCATTTTCCCAAATATGGAAATTTTGAGCACACAATTTATGATTTTTAAATTTTGAATGAGGAAACAGTTATTAGTAAAAACAACAAAATATTTTCTTTAGAAAAAAAGTTGGTATTTGTAAAGATCATTTTTAGTGTATGGCTTTGTTATTTTGTTTGGTTTGGTTTTTGGGTTTTGCTTTCAGGGTTTTGGTACCAGGGATCAAACTCAGGCTTGGCAGGCAGTGTGTGCGCTGAGCTGAGCCCCCGGCCCTGGAGTACGGCCTTGTAAGTGCTGCATGGACTTCAGCCACACAAGGCATTTCATCAGTGGTGGGTTATCTGTGGGCCTGGCTTGTCTGAAGGAACACAATATGGCTGAATATTATTAGAAATTAGCAAACAGTAAGAGGGAAGGAAGCAAGCATAATGTCTAATACCTAAAATTCTCACTTTGGGGAAATCATGCAAATGGTGACATCCCATCGGCAGTAGGCAAATGGATAATAAGCCACGGTTAGATAAATTAAATTTGGGGGACATCCACGTGTTGAGAGCTTTTGAGAAAATGTATGTTGGGCTGGGCATAAAAAGGGGGCTGAGAACTGCTGAGCTAGGGAACAGTGTCTTCCGAGAAGCACATCCAGCTGGTCAGAAGAGCCCGGGCTGCCCTCCAGTCCTCATGAGCTTGGCCTGCTCCTGATTCAGCACGAGGTCAAGGGAGCTAAATGGGAAGAGCACTGGTCCACTTGGCATCTTTGTGCAAGTCACCTCAAGGCTCCCCTGCCCTCTCAGTGGGAAGATGGTTGCAATAGTCTGGTTCTGTTAGAAGACACTGCGCTCCAGACAGTCACCTGCCACCATAAATACATAAAGCCTTGTGTAAGAGGCACCTCCTTGAGCCCGGTGCCACTGTGCACCACGTAGTCACATAGGACATTTGCAAACAGTGAAACCTAGAAATCGCCACAGTAACACTTGTCTGCAACGTGAAAGTGAGAAATCAACTCCACCGCAGTAACTCCTGGGCAGTTTCTGTCCCGCACGTTGGTGGGTGGGAGGCTGTGGAGATCCAGTGCCGGGTGGGGAGGTCCCCTCCTTGGTGGCTTCCACTGAGAGGAGGAGCTCAGCTATTGTTCCTTCCTATGCCTCCCAGTCTGTTCCAAAGACCCCCACTACTACTACACAGCCAAATGGAAAAGATTCTCTGTTTACAGAGAAAACACAAGGCGTGTTTCTTCCCCATCATTAAACAAGCGGGGTATGCTTAGCAGAAGTTTTCCACTTTGGCATCCAAGTTAAGATTTTCGGTGACTTTTTGCTTCAATCTAAACATTTTAGAAACGTTTTGTAGGGCAAACTATTCACAGACTCATTCAAAGAGAATCAAATAGTTTGGTGAGTTTCCATCTTGGAAGTAGAATGTTTATTTAAGAAACTCTAATAAAGCCCTCTTTCAAACCCATAAAAGTTATAGTCAGAACCAAGTGGTGGACCAAAGACTCAGGAAATAGTTATTGATGTGAGAGACAGAGAGAGAGAGAGAAAGGGAGACACAGAGAGAGAGAGCCAGTGAAGGAAGCAACTTGATGAGAAACTTTTACTAATGATTCTTATTTCCTCCAGCTTCAAAAAACAATTACACTGGTTGTGGAATTTAAAACATTTTTACTCACTACACAGTCTGCTCCTCCAAGCAAGAGGTAGGAGCCAGGGCATGGCGAATAGGTGGGGCTGACTCATGGGCAGAGGATTTAGTGCAAGAGACATTTTCATCTAGGGCCGGCAGAACAGTATGGGAAAGTGCAGAGCCTAGTGCCCAGGGGACTGGGCAGAAAACAGGAAAGAATCTGTGAAGAACTGGCAAGAGACAGTTGTGTCTCAGAAAAATGCCAGAGGAGGAGCCTTTTATGGGCTACACAGAAATGAGCACGCAGCAGGGAGAGCCATGAAAGGAGCCAAACCAGTCAGGACATCCACCGGCCCCTGTATTTACTCCTCAAAGCCCCCATAGACAAGAAATCAGAATGTCATGAGGGAAACACGATATGAGATAAAATTCAGGGAAATGCACGCAGTTCAGTACAAAAGACAGCCGAAAGCCCTGTGCAGAAAAGCCAGGGCCGCGGGCCAGTTGCATTGTAGTCGAAGTGACAACACTGGACAAGAACCCGGGAGTAAACAGAAGTGCAGTAGTTCAGAAGTAGCCACGGTGGAGATCAGAGGCTCCAAATGTCTTAGAGAAAGACTGCAGCTTGGCCAAAGCCACTGATGATGGTTAGCAACTACCTATGAATATAATTATTCCACATCCCTATAATCCTAAATCAACCACGCACGGGGTTATCTAGTAAATGAGCATGCCCAGAAGGACATCTTTTGAGTTAGCAATGATAGTGACCCCATGGACCTTTGGTTATGTTAGATCCACCTTGCCCGGCTGAATGGCAGCTGCTACGGTTACTCGTGGGTGACTTGGTTTACTCACAAGTTGCAAGGTCAGGGAGGTAGACGCAACCTGCTGAGTGGAGCTCTCAATCCAGCTCAGTCCCCTTGCCCGTTGGTCTACATCGGTCTTCAGCTACAGCCGATGAGACGCACAGCTTTCCCCTTCGGGTAGGAGATGGAACGTGGTGGGAAATAAACACGAGTAGACCAGACACCTCCTCCTCAGGTGTCCGCCTTATTAAAGACGAGGTCACTGGTTATCAACCGTGGCCACACATAAGAGTCTTCTGGAGATTTCTGCATTCTGATACTCATACAGAGCCTTAAGTGTGGCATTCTCAGGGTGAACCTGACACCAGCAACACCAGCAGTATGTGTGTGTACATGTGTGCCTTCTAAAACTGCAAGTAGTTCTTTTTGAGAATTGAATAAAATGAGACAGTGCAAGCGCCTGGCATACATTTGGTGCGTAATGAGTGTATTGTCCTCTTTGAATTGCTTCCTGCTGCCCCTCTCCTCCCCTCTGAGGCCCTTCCTGGTGTGTGCACACACCATGCTTCCTGTTGTGTATACACACTTCCTGGTGTATACACACACTTCCTGGTATGTACACACACTTCCTGGTATGTACCTCTCTCAGTCTTCAACATGCATCACACAGCAGCTGTGCCTTAGGGTTAATGAATTCATTGACATAATGCTGAAAAAGACAGCTCTCTCTTCTCGCTCATTTCTCTCTCGTTTTTCCAGTGTTACTTAACGCTGTTCACCTGTACAGGTGGAGGATTCGGATCCCCAGAATCACTGGACTTAAAAAGAATTCAGACTCCTCTGTCCCTACGGGCTTAATTTAACCAAGCTCTCTCTTTTTTTTTTTTTCTTTTTTTTTTTTTAGCACTTCAGAAAGATCAGGGTGGAAATAAAGTTTAAGAACTAGAGGAGCTTCCTAAAAATAGAATACAACTCATCCGTTTCAATTAGAAAGGCCCTCAGATTTTCCAAGCATTTTCAAACTCCTAAGCATTTTAAATCAGCTCACTTCTGAGTCTTATTAAAAAATAAATAAATTATACTTGTTTTCATTAAGGGAAGGGATCTTTTTCCATTTCTGCGGATATTGTCGAAGGAGACAAAAAGGAGTCCAAAATTCAGCAAGGAGCACGTTATTAGTGACATATTGGTCGCAGATGTGCTGGTAGAGCTACATTTTTGTCCTCCAATTAGTATTTTAAGTGCCCACAAATTACCTATGAAAGGCCAGATAACTTCCTTACAAAACAGAAGGAGGAAAAAACTTTATTTTGAAGGTTTCTAAGTAAGCTTTTATAAGTAGGGGCCAAAGTGACCCCTGTCCCTTGCTGTTCTCTTTGCTAAGTAGTGCTCCCTAGAGGACGCCAGCACGCCTTTCAGTTCCAAATGTTTTAAGCAAGTGAAAATACGTGCAAATACTCTTTGGCAATACCTGTGCATAATAACTGTTAAGAAAATCAAGAAAGCAACATCCCAGAGGCAGAAGGAAGCCACTGAAAAGCTTCGGGGCCCGAATCTGGAGGCCTTTGAGGCAGTTCGCAGGTGTTGGCTAAACTTTTGTTCAGTGGCAGAAAGTCGTTAAAGTCCTGTAAGGAGAATATTCATGCACCTGCTCGGGACATGAAGTTAGGTTCACCTGGGAGGAGATGGGCTTGGCGTCGGGATGCCCGTCAAGGTCTGGGTAGCAGACAAATGCAAACCCACATCCCAGGCTGCAACTGTAAGGATGTGCTAGAAGGAAATAAAATGTTATAAAGAAAAAAAGGGGAAGCAACAGATTTGACAGACCTAAAAGTCAGGACAAGCTACCTCTTTACTGTGAGACTTCTTGAGAATATTTTATTCACCTTGATGGGAAAACTGCAGACGAGAATAACTCCTAGAGAATGATAGACCCCTTGATTTTCCATGTTTGCATTGATGAGCTAACCAGTTTGAAGTGTCATGTAAATTGAAAGGGATAAGAAATTAAACCAAGAGATTAGTGTGTTACCTATGGAACAAACTGAATTACGACCTCCCCAAAAAGAGGTGGCCTGGCTTCCTGACCCCTAGGAAGAAAGTTATGTATTTGCATTTTTAACTCAGTAACAATATGCATCTGAAGATGACTGAGTGACCTGATTACAGTGACTGGAGGCTTTAAATCAGAAGCTTGTAATACGTTTTTTAGCCCCAAAGCTATTTGATGCACCACCAAGGGGAGGTCCGTGTTTGATGCTAATCCAGGGCTGTCTGGTATCTTATGTGTTATTCAGTGTTGTAAGTCCAAGGCATCCTACTGTCCAGTTTTTAAAAATAAGCCTGTAGGGTAGATTGCAAATTCTTTTGCTTCTCAACAGGACCTTGTTTTCTTGCTTCCCGTTTCCCTAGGAAAGTGACAATTTTGGAGGACCCCGATCAGAACATTCACCTGAAGAACCTGTCTCTTCATTCGGCAACGACAGAAGAGGAAGCTCTGAATTTGCTTTTCTTAGGAGACACCAACAGAATGATCGCAGAGGTGATAAAACTCTCTGCACACGACCTTTCTGATATATTAAGATAGAACGGTAGGGGCAACAAAGGCCTTAAAAATGATCTCACCTGGGTCTCAAGTTGCAGGTAAGGAAGACGCAATCCAGAGAAGCAAGGCGGCTCTCCTGAGGGTCCCTGGTTAGTTCGTGAGCGGGCGCTGCAATCTGAATATCCGGCTCTCGGCTCTGCCTTCTGTACTTCGCTCTGTTGAATGCCTTTTCCTTTTCCTTTTATGTTTTTAAAAATTTTTTTGCGAATTAGTTTGCAGTTAGTCAGTGACCACCTAGAACATCTTAATTATAGCACACTTTGTATATTTTGTGAAATGCATAAACATAATAAACATATAGTTTATTCTTCCCAGCCTCGTCATTATCCATACAGTTTCATGTAGGTACCGAATGAATATTCAACAAAGCATTTCAAAACAACACATAAAACCCAGGAAGTAGTCTACGGCTGGCAGCTGTGACTGCCACATCTGGGAATACCACCATGGTGTGTAGCAAAAGTTTGTCTCCATGCAGTATTTGGGACACATTTATTTCAAAAAGCATTCACTGCTTGTCTGACATTCCATTTGCTGAGTTCATTTATTTATCAGGAAGGAGCTGGGATTACCCATCAAGGTCAGCAGCCCAACCAGTCACCAATCAGAGGGTCTGGGGGCTTTGCCCAGCGACGCTGAGGTGACGGGGAGAGGAGGAGGAGAGGGGTAGTGGGGGGAACAGCTCCCCAGTAAACAGCCTGCTGTTCTTGCTGAACCTCTCTTTTTAGACTGTGCCCCCAAGTCCCATGTCATACCTCTTCTCCAGCGCCAAGTAGACATGAAGGTCGTGGAGGATAAGAGAGGATGGGCAGCCCATGCCTGGCCTCCAGCCACCAAGTGACCATCTTTGCTCCCTTCTGCCCTCTGGAATGCCTTAGATGCAGAAAGATACTTGGAAGCCAGATCCAGAGGGCGGGATCAGAGTGTGGCCATTCTGTGTTTCATTGTGTCTCTACAGCCCTTGCTCTGGAAGAAAGTTTGCATAGCTTTAACTTCAGATGGTTTGTTTTATCCTGTAATATTTTGTGTTGCTGCTCAGTGCCCAGGGTTTGCCCATGTGATCACCTGTGATGCTCTTATTTGTTAAAATCATAGAAGATTAAAGAAAGAAGCAGACCAAGAATGAGGACATACCATGATGACAGACTTAGCGTACCCCCCCCAGCACCTCTTTCTCGATACACAGCTTGATAAATGGCAAATGAAGAGATGCAGAGTGTAGGTGCATGTGAAAAGGAGAGACGGGGTAAATGCTGCTGAGAGTCACCCAGAAGCACCCGTCTCTGCTCGTTGCCTGCCCCTGCGGGTGACCCATTCCTGTGGAAGCAGCCACTGGCCCTTGCTCACCGTGGCAGGACCCTGACCCGTTGCACCGGGACCTCCAGCGGCGTTCAGCATCCCAGTTAGGCATCACATCTAGCTGGCCGCATGCAGGGTATTTCCAGGCTGTTTCGTGAACTGAGGAACTTCTTCTGTGAAAGTCACCTGTCATATTTCCCGCCTTCCAAACTCCCAAGCCTTTTCCTCTTACTTACTGACAAATGTGTCTAATAATAATATTGTTAAAAAACGAAAATCTGAGGAAGTCCCACTCTAAGCATGCTGGCTGCGCATTAATTTTTCCCTGATCTACTCGTTTTTCCTGGGTGGAGCCTGATCTTTTGAAACCCTGTTGTGCTCCTTCTCCAGCTGATATTTTTTCTTTGGCAGTAAGAGCTGCCACTGTATGCAGAGAACCCACTGCTGCCCCGGCTTTGCATGGGTTTTTCTCCTGATTGTTACTTTGCAGGTGGAAACTGAGGCTGGGTTAGACTCCTTCCCCATGCTCACTCAGCTAGGCGGCAGCATGGTCAGGGCTCAGTGCCACGCCCAACTGAGGGAGAAGTTTATGTTCGCTCCTTATTCTGAGCACTGGAATCCAATTGAGATAGGTCACATATTTCTAATGAGGCTGTATCTCTGAATTATTTAAAGTATGTACCAAGTATTTAGCACTTGCATTTATCTCTTGAATCCAATGAAAGAAAATGCATGCACACTGAAAATACAAATGGAGGGTAACCATCGACCCCTGGAAATTCTTTATCATTCACGGCCTCTTAAAAAAAAACCCATGTTTTGGATTACAGCCTAGCTGTCAGAATGCAATTTGTCAGCACGGAACGAGCTTACCAGGATAAAAAGAACACTCTAATCATTTTTTTGAGGAAAAAACTAGGTCCCAATTTCCCATTTACACAGAGAAACCCAGTGGTTTCCATGGTAACCAGAAAACATTTACAAAACAAAGTCTAGATCTGTGGGACACAAAGTGGAGGGCCTTTCCTTTCTTGCTCTTTACTCCCAGCCAGGATTTTACGGAAAAGTTATTAAGAGTATCCTCATCCTCTTCTTATTTATTCAGAACTCTTGAATAATTTCTGCAGTTTTACCGATGTTTTGAATAAAACCTGACTATGTCCTTAGGGTACTTTTTTAAGTAGAATTGCCAGGCCAAGGAGAATAAATATTATAAAAGCTGACTGTGCATGACCCTGCCTCACAGCCCATCAGTAGCCAGCATGACTTGATATTCTTGTATCTTATAGTTGAAATATTTATACCAATTAATCAAATCTAATTGAAGACATTCTGGTGTTTTGCTGTGTTTGGTCTTGTAGTGCTGAGGACTGAAGCCAGGGACTTCACACTGAGTTATCTCCTTAGTCCTCTGAGTGTTTCATCCAGGTTTGAAACAGGGTCTCACTAAGTTGTTAAATCAACCAAGCTGGGCTCTACTTTATGATCCTCCTGCCTCAGCCTCCCAGAGTGCTAGATTAGACATGTGATATTCTGCATATGGTTGGCAGCTCCTGAGCTAAGACTGTTTGCATTTGTCCCTACCTTGAAGGCTCAGCCCTTTCCAGGACATACAGCTTTCTGCCCAAGTACAGTCCCAGAATAACCTGCATTAAAATACCCTGTGGCAGCTAAAAGATGCAGCTTCTTGGATCCCATTTCTGGTGGCTGGATTCACAACCTGCAGTGAAGCCTAGAAATGTGCACTAAAATTCACAGCAGCAGATTGGGCTTTGCCATTGAGAAAGCTAAATGAAATCTACTCCCAGAGAACTATGTGAGCAGGTCCATATTCCACACTCTTGTCAATAATGCAAAATTTAAAAGGGAAAAAAAGAAAGACAATTCTATGTGATTTTGCATTTTTGATTACCAAATTCTTGATTATCTGTATTGGCCATCTGCATGTCTGTTTTTGTCAGTTGTTCTGTTTCTCTCTTGCGGTGCTGGGGTAGTTTTGATAGATTCGCAGACTCTTCGAGGGCTACAGCTTTGTCTTGTACACCGCACATGCACATCTAGAAACAGAGCTGGATCCATTCTTCTATAAATAATTATTGAACGAATCAGCAACAAAGACAACTTCTTGTCATATATTTAGCACTTAGTTTCTCATTTTATAGATTTTCTTTTATTAAAAAAAAAAGCCCAATCGATCTTTTTATTTTGTTTTCTGTTTTTGATGTCAGGCTTAGAAAGTCAAGTCAATGAATAATTCTAACTGTTGGAAAAGTATGTTGTTGTTTTGTGTTGAAATTTAATGCCTGGCCATCTGCCCCATTAATTCTGTCTCGGTAACTTTTCTCTTGTTGCTCAGACCAAATACCTGATGCCCAAAATGAAGCAAGGAAAGGTTTATTTAGCTCACAGTTTGTGGAGGTTTCAGTCCTACTCAGCTGGCTCCAAGGCAGGGTGGCGTGGCTGAGGGGCAGCCATTCATGGCAGCTGCTGCAGATATAAAAGCAACCTGAGAGCAAAAGGGCAAAGGGAGGAGCGAGCCTGTTTCCCTTATATTCTGTGCAGGCTGTCACCCCAGGGTGGATGCAGCCCTCACGCTGCCAATCCAGCACTAGGCAATGAACCAATCACAAACACTAGAGTCAGCCACCTTCAAAAGGCCCGCCCCCCATGACCACTTGAGGCTTTGGAGGGATATCCAGACACAAACCATAACAGTTCCCTTTTAGACCTGGGACGTAGAAAAAGCTGATCATCGGGCTAGGGATTTAGCTCAGTGGAATAAGTACCTGCCTGGCAAAGATGAGCTTGCAAGTTCAATCTCCTGTACAAAAAAAAAAAAGCTAATCATGATCATGTTGGAAGAGCGCTTTCATGTTGTTATTTATTATATTTATTATAAATTAACATTATAACTATATGTATTTATGGAGAATAATGTGATGAGTCAAATACAGTGAGGATGATTAAGCTAATTAACATATCTAGCATCTCAGATTCTAAACTTTGTTTTGTAGTAAGGAGCAGATCTCAGAGGTTTTGGGCGCATAGGGATTTTACATGATATTTGAGAGAAAGCCATGCTAGATTAACATAATCAGGGTTCCCACTGAATTCTCCCTGTAGAAAGAGCCGCCACTGATTTTAAAAATTCCATTTGAGTACTTATATTAAGGAATCATAATTCTGCTCTGAGTGAATCATGAGACTGGCATGAGACTCTTTTGAGAGGCACTTTGGAAAAGAGAGTGGGACCTAGGGTCTCTTCCACCCAGCCTTTACCATAGTGTCTCTTACGGCTGAATTGGGCCAACCTGTAGCAAATCCATATGTTAGAGTCTTAACTCCAAGAACTTCAAATATCGACCTCCTTGGGGCACAGTCTTTACGGAGGTGTCCGAGTTAGAGCGAGGGCATTAGGGTAGACCCAAAAGACAGCACGACTGTGGAACCAGATGCATACTGGGTGGGTGCTGTGTGGACCTGAAGGTAGTGGCCTGCAAGCCCAAGAGGGAGACTTGGAGCAGATCCTCTCTCACCGCCCTCAGGTGGAACCAACCCTTTTCTTTCAGACTTCCAAATGTCAGCACAGTGAGATCTGCTGTGGGCGCCACCTTCCGAGGGATTGTTTCGGCCTTCAT